AACCAGCTATATGACATTTATTTAAAAATCTCATATTTAAAAGACACACGGCAAGGCTCTTGTAGCCGGGAGTAGAACTAGTAGTGACCAGCCATGAGGCGGGACCAGGAGCTGTGACTCAACTTTTGCAACCACATATAATTATAATCATTTGACGTTAAACCTTGGATTACAGGAGTGGGGCGGGGGTATGGAGATATTCAGGCTTAATTCAGGAAACGAGCACAGATTCAATTCCCTAGATCAAGAGCCCCTCACCAGCGTCAAGGAACCTCCCTTGAGGGGCAACACACATATAAGTACACACACACACACACACATCACACACAACACAACACACCACACACACACACACACACCACACAACACACACTGTAAGACATGGTACTACGTTATACATGGCTACAATCATGAACAAATTATAGTGTATAGCAATTCACACTCACACCCGTCACAACTAGTGAGTATTGGTGCAAATATTGATTGTTGAGTCACACACACACACACACACACACATATACCAAAATTCACACACACACACACACACACACATAACAAACACACACACACACACACACACGTAACACAAACTCATAACACTCACGCAACCACACTCATACGGTGATAGAGCAACCGTATGAAGAGGCGGGGCCAGGAGCTAAGACTCGACCCCTGCAACCACAAATAGGTGAGTACAATAGGTGGTACACACACACACACACACCCACTCATACACACACACACACTCATACACATAAACACACACACACACACACACACTCGCAAATACAACAGGCCTAGTGTCTAATCGACATGTGCCTAGGACAAAATGGTAACTAACTAACACACCAGGGATAACAGGGAAGGCACTACAATGGATCAGGGAATACTTGTCAGGAAGACAGCAGCGAGTCATGGTACGTGGCGAGGTGTTAGAATGGGCGCCTGTGACCAGCGGGGTCCCACAGGGGTCAGTCCTAGGACCAGTGCTGTTTCTGGTATTTGTGAACGACATGACGGAAGGAATAGACTCCGAAGTGTCCCTGTTTGCTGATCACGTGAAGTTGATGAGAAGAATTCATTGGATCGAAGACCAGGCAGAACTACAAAGGGATCTGGACAGGCTGCAGACCTGGTCCAGCAATTGGCTCCTGGAGTTCAACCCCACCAAGTGAAAGTCATGAAGATTGGGGAAGGGCAAAGAAGACCGCAGACGGAGTACAGTCTAGAGGGGCCAGAGACTACAAACCTCACTCAAGGAAAAAGATCTTGGGGTGAGTATAACACCAGGCACATCTCCTGAAGCGCACATCAACCAAATAACTGCTGCAGCATATGGGCGCCTAGCAAACCTCAGAACAGCATTCCGACATCTTAATAAGGAATCGTTCAGGACCCTGTACACCGTGTACGTTAGGCCTATATTGGAGTATGCGGCACCAGTTTGGAACCCACACCTAGCCAAGCACGTAAAGAAACTAGAGAAAGTGCAAAGGTTTGCAACAAGACTAGTCCCAGAGCTAAGAGGTATGTCCTACGAGGAGAGGTTAAGGGAAATCGATCTGACGACACTGGAGGACAGGAGAGATGGGGGACATGATAATGACATACAAAATACTGAGAGGAATTGACAAGGTGGAGAAAGACAGGATGTTCCAGAGATGGGACACAGCAACGAGGGGACACAGTTGGAAGTTGAAGACACAGATGAATCACAGGGATGTTAGGAAGTATTTCTTCAGCCACAGAGTAGTCGGGAAGTGGAATAATTTGGGAAGCGATGTAGTGGAGGCAGGATCCATACATAGCTTTAAGCAGAGGTATGATAAAGTTCACGGTTCTGGGAGAGTGACCTAGTAGCGACCAGTGAAGAGGCTGGGCCAGGAGCTAGGACTCGACCCCTGCAACCTCAACTAGGTGAGTACACACACACGTGATGAGGTATCACAGTGGGCGCCTGCGACGAGCGGGGTCCCACAGGGGTCAGTCCTAGGACCAGTACTATTTTTGGTATATGTGAATGACATGATGGAAGGGATAGACTCAGAAGTATCCCTGTTCGCAGATGATGTGAAGTTAATGAGGAGAATTAAATCTGATGATGATCAGGCAGGACTACAAAGAGACCTGAACAGGCTGAACACGTGGTCCAGCAACTGGCTTCTCGAATTCAACCCTGCCAAATGCAAAGTCATGAAGATTGGGGAAGGACAAAGAAGACCGCAGACAGAGTATAGTCTAGGCGGCCAAAGACTACAAACCTCACTCAAGGAGAAAGATCTTGGGATGAGCATAACATCTAAGACGCACATCATCCAGATAACTGCTGCAGCATATGGGCGCCTGGCAAACCTGAGAATAGCGTTCCGTTACGTTAGTAAGGAATCGTTCAAGACACTGTACACTGTGTACGTCAGGCCCATACTGGAGTATGCAGCACCAGTTTGGAACCCACACCTGGTCAAACACGTCAAGAAATTAGAGAAAGTGCAAAGGTTTGCAACAAGGTTAGTTCCGGAGCTCAGGGAAATGTCCTAAGAAGAAAGGTTGAGGGAATCGGTCTGACGACGCTGGAGGACAGGAGGGTCAGGGAAGACATGATAACGACATATAAAATACTGCGCGGAATAGACAAGGTGGACAGAGACAGGATGTTCCAGAGAGGGGGCACAGAAACAAGGGGTCACAACTGGAAGCTGAAGACTCAGACGAGTCAAAAGGATGTTAGGAAGTACTTCTTCAGTCATACACTTGTCAGAAAGTGGAATAGTCTAGCAAGTGATGTAGTGGATTCAGGAACCATATACAGCTTTAAGACGAGGTATGACAAAGCTCAGGGAGCAGATAGACAGAGGACCTAGCAGCGATCAGTGAAGAGGCGGGGCCAGGAGCTGAGTATCGACCCCTGCAACCACAATTAGGTGAGTACACACACGCACACATTTTGGAGTATGCAGAACCAGTTTGAAACTGACATCTGGTCAAGCATGTCAAGAAATTAGAGAAAGTGCAAAGGTTTGCAACAAGACTAGTCTTGTTGCAAACAAGATGAGAGGTCCTGACGACACTGGACAGGAGGGATAGGGAGGACATGATAATGACGTATAAAATACTGAGAGGAATTGACAAGGTGGATAGGGACAGGATGTTCCAGAGATGGGACACAGCATCAAGGGGTCGCAAATGGAAGTTGAAGACTCAGGTGAGTCACAGGGATGTTAGGAAGTACTTCTTCAGTTATAGAGCTGTCAGGAAGTGAACAGTGTGGACAGTGATGTAGCAGTACTGCTTTAAGAACTGTATAGTCCTTGTGGCTTAGCGCTTCTTTTTTATTATAATAATAATAACTGCTTTAAGAAGAGGTATGATAACGCAGGGAGTGGACATAGTCGAGACCAGTGAAGAAGCGGGGCCAGGAGCTATGAGTCGACCCCTGAAATCACAATTAGGTGAGTACACACACAGAGGCAGTAGAAAAAGGGGTAAGTAGACTGCATTTTCTTGGACTGTAAGAAGGCTTTCGACAGTGTACTAGAAAGACGGACTTACCTGGGCTCGTGTAACCTGAATTATGACACTACCGTGTCGTATGGACGCGGATATCCGTTGGCTTGATTAGAGATATAGTACACTAGCATTCTAGATCACTGCACACGTTAGACTCTTCAGTACAGCTGGAGTTTACCTGGAGAGAGTTCCGGGGGTCAATGCCCCCGTCAAATCATTTCAACGTCACTCTAGTTCACCATCACTCATTCACGAAGAATCACTCGTAAATAGTTTGGGTTCCTATCTGAGGTTAATAATGGCCACGGCAGGTAGAGAGAATTGCTGACGATGCCTCGTACGACAGGGTCGCCTAATTTGTCTTCCGTTAAGGCCATATCCACGGTTTTTACGTTTCAAAGCAGCGTAGTGCTGCTCCGGTAACTTTTCTGCAACTGACGCCATCCAGCATCACACTCTACATTTTGGGCGCGAAAAAATTTGCTTACATAACGTCAAACCATTACATCTAGAATTTTCGGTGCCAGCTTTTGCTATGGTCCTAAGTAAAAGGACAAAGTCTTCCATGATACAGAGGTGTCTTTAATTTATCCTACTGGCTATGTATATCATTAGGATAAAGGCTTATTTCTGTCTTACGTAAAATATATCAAACTGGGAGTTTTCTCGGTCACACTTGATTGAGTTGTCTCGTAAGTTATAGTTGGCAAAACGAAGGAGTGTCTCATCATGGTTATATGTGGTATGGTACGTTACTCGCACCTCCCTCGTACTGTGGAAAAAAAGGGGGGAGGGGTCACGACCCCCTCGCCGCCCTCCCCGTCTGAGATAATTTCTCCACAATTCCCACGCACTTTCTATAGATTTTAAAAAGTATGGTCACCAAGCGTAACGTGTCCACTCCGCATTTATGGCTGTTTTCCAACTTGTTGGCATTTTATACTTATGCTAGTTTAACATTTGTGAGTGCTCTCAAAATTCTCAGAATTTTTTTGTATTTAGGTTCATAGTAATGCAGAGTGTGAGAACAGTTTTTGGTTGCAAGATTTTGCATGTGGTTAGGTAAACATCAACTGGGGAAGTAAACTCCCAGAAGTTTGCCGGTGGTAATGTCTAAGAATCTACTAATCCAGATAAATACTCCATTACCATTATATTCATGGAGAAACGATAAACCCATTAGAGGAATAGGAAGTAATCAGGTTTGTTCCAAAAAAGACACGTTACAGATAAGATGTTATCGGGACGTTTAGCTCTGATTAGAGCTTTTATCAAATCGTATTTTTTTTAGCTGTGTAGAGATTTATCAAGTCACACTCTAACATTTGACTAATTAAGTTCTACACAGAGCGAAACATTGTCCCGGTAAATGTTGGCTCTGCAACGTGTTTTGCTAAGCACAGTAGTAGGCAATCCGCCATTGGGATCCAGCTTGATCCGAGGAAAGGGACAGTAGAGTGTACTGCCATTTAATGAGAGTTTGTGTTCTCCAGGTACCAGGAGACACCATGGGACGTGGCCACGCTGGCTGGATCACCCTCATCCAACGTCTGTGCGGACCTCATACTTACCAAACACCTGCAGAACAAAGACCAACACAAACTGCCCATCCTCTAAATGCCTGTTACATAAGTTAATGGAGAAGTGCTAAACCTGTAGGGGTCATACAGCCCCGGGGAATGGGATCAGGGGACCTTTACCAGCATCGAGAGAGATTGGCGGTGAAGGTTGGGGGGAATTTTAACGCTTATTGTAGAGTGATTAGATTAGCTCCAGTTCCTTTACGTCTGGGTATCCTTGATTCTATTGTTTTTAATATTTTGAACTGGTGAGTTTTTCTGCCTCGCGAATATGCAAGATGACAGACGAATCTTAATTTTTTTACCTGTTCTTTACTGTAAGATGCTCAGTAAGTGAAGACAGAAACACAAGAGGTTGATTGATCTGTATATTTCGATCCCCTTCTGGGATCCTCAGCATAATAATAATAATAATAATAATAATAATAATAATAATAATAATAATAATGATATAGGATTAGTTGAGATTTTGGGCATACTTTACAGAAAGCCCCTGGTTATGGAGAGTGGAACATAATTTTTTAAAAGGGCTGACGGGTCAACCAGGGAAAGGCCTCGGTCAGCTGACCAAAAGCTCCAGTGGTGGGTCATTATATGACCCACCACTTTCAATTACTCAGATATGGTAAACACGAGGAAATTAAATCTTCATCAGAGTACAAAACAAATTCTGGCCACAAAATAGAGCGAAACACCAACGTCAAAGACCTGGGAGTGATCATGTCGGAGGATCTCACCTTCAAGGACCATAACATTGTATCAATCGCATCTGCTAGAAAAATGACAGGATGGATAATGAGAACCTTCAAAACTAGGGAGGCCAAGCCCATGATGACACTCTTCAGGTCACTTGTTCTATCTAGGCTGGAATATTGTTGCACACTAACAGCACCTTTCAAGGTAGGTGAAATTGCTGACCTAGAAAATGTACAGAGAACCTTCATGGCACGCATAACGGAGAAAAAACACCTCAATTACTGGGAGAGCTTGAGGTTCCTAAACCTGTATTCCCTGGAACGCAGGCGGGAGAGATCCCTGATTATATACACTGGAAAATTCTGGGGGACTAGTACCGAACTTGCACAAAAAAAATCACTCACTACGAAAGAAAAAGACTTGGCAGACGATGCAACATCCCTCCAATGAAAAGAGGGGTGTCACTAGCACGTTAAGAAAGACCATACAATAAGTGTCAGGGGCCCGAGACTGTTCAACGCTCCCAGCATACATAAGGGGGATTACCAACAGACCCCTGGCAGTCTTCAAGCTGGCACTGGACAAGCACCTAAAGTCGGTTCCTGACCAGCCAGGCTGTGGCTCGTACGTTGGTTTGCGTGCAGCCAGCAGCAACAGCCTGGTTGATCAGGCTCTGATCCACCAGGAGGCCTGGTCACAGACCGGGCCGCGGGGGCGTTGACCCCCGGAACTCACTCCAGGTAGACCTGCGTCGGAAAACAATTGTTCTGTTTTCTGATGAATCTTACCTCACCTAGCCTATGAAGAACATTTCGGGCAGCCTCAAAATTAACTTATAACTACCTATAACTCAAAACACTTTTGGAGAGGAGACCCAGTCTTTTGTTTCCCACTACAAACAACAGATATTAATGCTACTAAACAAAGTCCCCCTACGTACCATTAATACGACGACATTTATCTTTGCAAACTTACAGTGTCTGAAGCCATCAACAAACAACAAAATACCTTACATCAAGGGACTGCTCACAGAGTCAAACGCAATGTTTGCGGCTTTCACAGAGACCCACATAAAGGATCACTTTGACAACGAAATATGGAGTCCAGGCTATAATCTATTTAGATGCAACAGAGTAAACAGGTAACAGGGGGGGAGGGGGGTTGGCCTGTATGTAAGAGAGTCTCTCATTTGCTTAGCATTACTAAACACCTCAAATGGTGTAGTCGAGGTTTCGGCAATCAAGATCGAAAACCAAAACTCTCTCTTAAACCTTGTCATTGTGGTTGTATAGAAGCTTCCGAACGCTACTTCCCAACAATTCCCGGAGCAGCTTTTCAAAATTGACCACTGTGGAAAATCTCCCACCTCCTAAATTGCCAGGCATACCATCTAAAGGGGACAAAAAGATACAAAACATCCAGGCCATGGGAAAACCTGGGTAGCCACAGCCACTCAAGAGGGAGAGGTTTTTTAGTGCCAGGAAGGAAAAAAAACTGGCAGGAAATGGCAGAAATCGTACACCAAATCCAGTCATTCCTGGAGTGGAACCACAGTCGATGGCCTCCACTCCAAACCAACAGATACAGATACTAATGCCGGAAAAAAAATCCCCCCCCCCAGTACCAACAATACCACCAGTCCGATAACATTCTTCTTTGCAAATATACAGGGTCTAAAGCCAGCAACAAACAACAAAATACCTTTCATCCGTGGACTGCTTGCAGAGGCAAAGGCAATGTTCCCCGGCTTTCACTGAGACCCACATAAAGGATCACTTGGACAACGAAATATGGATCCCAGGTTACAACCTATACAGATGTGACAGAGTGAACAGGCAAAAGGGGGGGGGTTGGCCTGTATATTGCAGAGTCACTTGTTTGCACAGAACTGCTTAATGCCTCAAATGACGTAGTGGAAGTTTTTGCAGAAAAGGTCGAGAACCAAAACCTAGTCATTGTGGTAGTCTACAAGCCTCCGGATGCAACATCCAGCAATTCCAGGAACAGCTGTTAAAAATTGACCACTGTCGGGAAAAAATCTTCCAGCCCCTTTGCACCCAACATCTTGCTCCGGGGGGGATTTCAATTTAAAGGGCACCTAAAATGGAGGAATATAGCAAATAATATTGTTGCAGTAATAACACCAGGAGGCAGCTCTGATGAAAACCACACCCCACACGGCTTTTAAAAATCTCTGCAAAAAATTTCAATTTTAAACCAGCAAATAATAGAGCCTACTGGGACTGGAGAATACACTAGACCTCATCTTCAAAAACAATGATGTTTCTGATAAGAAATGTCCCCCTATCAAAAAAAATAACTCAATCACAACATAATTAAAGGTTCGACATGTATGCGTGGAGCCCCAGACCGAACAAAATGAGACTAGCCCACGAGGGAGCATTCACCAAATTCAACTTCAATAACAAAAACATAAAGTGGGACAAGTAAACCAAGTCCTAACCCGATATAAGCTGGGAAGATATACTAAGCAACACGACCCAAACTTATGCCTAAAAACAGATTAACTCGGTGGCACTCGATGTATGCACAAGGCTTATTCCTCTAAGAAAAAGGAGGAGTAGATGAAAAATAGAAAGAGACAGGCGCTCCCCTTTCCAGGCGACGGAAAAAAAAACAGGCGGCTAAAGAGGTCAATATATCTGAAATGCGCAGGGAGACACTGGTCAGAGAAATAGCAAGCATCGAACTTAAGCTAAAAAGAATCCTTTGGAGTCAGGAATCGCGGGAAGAACTAAAAGCCACAAATGAAATCGAAAGAAACCCAAAGTATTTCTACTCCTATGCCAAATCAAAATCGAGAAACAACGTCCCAGTATTGGGCCCCTACTTAAACAAGATGGGTCCTCACACAGATGACAACAAGGAAATGAGTGAGCTACTCAAGTCCAATATAAACTCAGTTTTTAGCAAGCCGCTAACCAGACTGAGAGTCGAAGATCAAAAATGAATTTTTTATGGAAAAGCCACAAAATTTGATTAACACAAGCCTATCCGATGTTATCCTGAGGGCCCAAATGATTTTCGAACAGGCGATAAATGACATGCCCATGCACTCTGCCCCAGGGCAGACTCATGGAACTCTGTGTTCATCAAGAACTGCAAGAAGCCCCTATCACGAGCCTTTTCCACCCTATGGAGAGGGAGCATGGACACGGGGGTCGTCCCTCAGTTTACTAAAAAAAACCCAGACATAGCCCACTCCACAAAAGGGGCAGTAAAGCAACAGCAAAGAACTACAGACCAATAGCACTAACATCCCATATCATAAAAATCTTTAAAAGGGGTCCTAAGAAGCAAAATCACCACCCATCTAGAAAAACCCCTCAGTTACACAACCCAGGGCAACATGGGTTTAGAACAGGTCGCTCCTGTCTGTCTCAACTACTGGATCACTATGAAAAAGGTCCTAAATGCACTAGAAAACAAAAAGAATGCAGATGTAAATATATACAGACTTTGCAAAAGCCTTCGACAAGTGTGACCAAGGCGTAATAGCGCACAAAATGCGCGCTAAAGGAATAACAGGAAAAGTCGGTCGATGGATCTATAATTTCCTCACTAACAGAACACAGGGGAGTAGTCGTCAACAGAGTAAAGTCCGAGGCAGCTACGGTGAAAAAGCTCTGTTCCACAAGGCCCAGTACTAGCTCCCATCTTGTTCCTCATCCTCATATCCGACATAGACAAGGATGTCAGCCACAGCACCGTGTCTTCCTTTGCAGATGACACCCGAATCTGCATGACAGTGTCTTCCATTGCAGACCATGCAAGGCTCCAGGCGGACATAAACCAAATCTTTCAGTGGGCTGCAGAAAACAATATGAAGTTCAACGATGAGAAATTTCAATTACTCAGATTTTGGTAAAAATAGAGGAAATTAAAAACTTCATCAGAGTACAAAACAAATTCTGGCCACAAAATAGAGCGAAACACCAACGTCAAAGACCTGGGAGTGATTATGTCAGAGGATTCTCACCTTCAAAGGGCCATAACATTGTATCAATCGCATCTGCTAGAAAAATGACAGGATGGATAATGAGAACCTTCAAAACTAGGGAGGCCAAGCCCATGTGACACTCTTAAGGTCACTTGTTCTATCTAGGCTGGAATATTGCGCCACCTAACAGCACCTTTCCCAAAGGGAGGTGAAATTTTCCGACCTAGAAAATGAAAAGAAACTTTCACGGCGCGCATAACGGAGATAAAACACCTCAATTACTGGGAGCGCTTTTGGGGTTTTAACCGTATTCCCTGGAAAGCAGGAGGGAGAGATACATGATTATATACCCTGGAAAATCCTAGAGGGACATGTACCGAACTTGCACACGAAAATCACTCACTACGAAAGCAAAAGACTTGGCAGACGATGCACCATCCCCCCAATGAAAAGCAGGGTGTCACTAGCACGTTAAGAGACCATACAATAAATGTCAGGGGCCCGAGACTGTTCAACTGCCTCCCAGCACACATAAGGGGGATTACCAACAGACCCCTGGCAGTCTTCAAGCTGGCACTGGACAAGCACCCTAAAGTCAGTTCCTGATCAGCCGGGCTGTGGCTCGTACGTTGGTTTGCGTGCAGCCAGCAGCAACAGCCTGGTTGATCAAGCGCTGATCCCCCAGGAGGCCTGGTCACAGACCGGGCCGCGGGGGCGTTGACCCCCGAAACTCTCTCCAGGTAAACTCCAGGTAAACTCCTGCCCGAAACATCTTGCTGCTGGGCAATTTCAAAATTAAGGAAAACCTAAATGGATAGTATAGCAAATACTGCACTAAAATCACAAATAAACAGGGGAATATCACAAAATTCAGAACACCCTTGCAAGGAATTCGCAAGAGCAGGCGAAATATACACAAACAGCCAGAGATCAGTGTTTGTGTATATTTCGCCTGCTCTTGCGAATTCCTTGCATTGTTAATATCTCTAGTAAGGCTGATGCATGCAGGGGATGAGATGAAAAGCTGTAGCCTTCTCCCTGAAAGCTGGCTGCCTTGGATCAAAAGTCTAGCGCAAGCTGGGGCTCCAAGGTATTGGTCCAGTGGGGGGTAGATTGGTAAAGCACTGAGTACCTTTTTCCAAGGTTCGTAGGTTCGAGTCTCCTTCAGCCAGAGATCAGTGTTTCAGAAAAACCATTGTGGAAAAACAAACAAAATTCAAGGGGCTTTCATGACTTCTCACATTATCATGGAACTATAAAAATAAAGATTAACAGGAAGGCATATAAAAGGATGAGACCTACACCTCGCTGCCACCCCACAACAAATAATGTTTTAGCAGAGATAACCCCAGGGCCAGCTCAGACG